ATATATATATATGTATATATATAGTAATTAACACTAATGCGGATAATTTTTATAGTCGTGTATCTATATGTTTGTAATAAGTCTAGAAGATGTTTTATGATTTATAATATTCTTCAATTTTCGCATATAATACAATAGAAAGAAAACTAATTCGCTTTCCTACGGACATTAATTTATTATTATCTCTGTGATATAATTTCTTAATAATATACATACAATTTTTATTTCGTGTGCACGCATACACACATACACACATAAAGATAAAACATAGATCACATGAGAATAATAAAAATACGAACATCTTCAATCTTTAACATTTTATATTATATAAATCATAATGTCTTTGAACAATTGCGTTATGAAAAAATGATATCATTTTTGAGATTTTGCTTCGAAGCTCGAAGAATCGTTACATTTTGCATTTTATTTATTTATTTTTTTTTTACATAAAAGATTTTATTAAAGTATCTAAAATTTAGCTAGATACAGATCTAAAAATAATTTTGTTGGATCATTAAAATAATTATGTAACTCAAACTGATTTAAAATGTTAAAAATTTTGCAGCACTCTAATTATCTTGAGATTGCTACGTAATTAATATTTTAATGGCTCAACAAATTTTTTTCAGATCTATATCTAGAAAAAATTTTTGAATCTAGAAAAAATATCTTAAAAAATTTTTTAATATCTCAACAAACTCATTCTTTTCATGTAGAAATCTTAGAAAAGCTACAAATTTATACTTTACTCTTTTGCAGTGAGTATTTATCATATTAAATTGTGATATTAAAAGCGATGAGAATTATGTTATTTGATAATGCAATCCGATTGTCACCTACATAAAGTCATATCTAAGCAAAACAACAAATCATTATAATTTCAAAATAATGTTAAAATGACTCCAAAATGATCATTAAAAATAATTTTTAATTATTTTTTATTCATTTTAACGTTATTTTGATGTTATCGTGACTTGTTCTGCTTGGGTAAGTTTATGTAAATTGTAATATAAGGTTGCGTGAGTCGTATTTCTTAAAAGATATATTGGTTTTGTAAAATCCACAGTTTGTGCTAGTATTATATAACAGAACAAATAGAAACAATAATTTTAAAAGTTGCAAATTATTCATAATCGGTGTTTATCTTCTGGAAGCTCTTCTTATTCGATGAAAGTACAGGTATTCCTAAAACATAAAAATATATTCTTATTATATAAAAATATAATTGTATAAATAAATTATATTTAATTGTAAAAATATGTAAATTTATGTTACATGTACATCTATAAGATGTACGAGACGTCGTATATGAGATTTTTTACTTGAACTCGTTCAATTAAAGAAATCAAGGATATCGGAATAAAATTAAAAAGCAATCGCTCACTATTAAGAATGACGCGCCGAGGAGCAGGCTTTTCAATCTCACATCTGTATCTACCGGAAATGTGAGAAGCAGGATGTAGTCGACTGCAAAGTGATCCCATTGATGTATTAGTGATGCGACTTGGTGAGATCCGTCCAATGATACGATCTAAAAAGGAAGAAGTAGATGAAGTAGAGTAATTAAAATTAACATAAAAGTATGTTATTAAATTTTATTATATTATACATATATATAAACACATATAATTGTTCATTATTATACGTTATTATATAAATATTAACGTAATGTTTTTAACAAATACGTTGAGAGAAAAAGTTGCAACTTTTTACTATAATTACATGATAAAATAATTATGATTAGAAGCTTCATTTTTATAATTATTATTACTATAATGTCTGCAATAGTAACTTTACATTTCTAATTTTACTATGAAAAAATGTTGATGCTTTATATCATAATAATTTTAAATTAAATTATTAAATTACTAAAATATTAAATTATTTTGAATATTAAAAAATATAGTAAAATATCAAGAGATGAATGGTAAATAAGAAAATAAAATAATTTTAATTGCATTTAAAATAGTTTTTACGTAGTAAATGCAATCACAATTATATAACTACCAATTATATAACCTACTTAACATATGCTTACTATTTATGAGGTAATAAAAGTAAAAGATATATGCAAGAGAAAAAAATAAAAAATTACACAACCGCATTTATCATTACAGGCTGCTTTCCAGCAAGAAACACAGATGACACAGTTTGATACAGTGAAATGCCTCGGAAGCAGCTTAGCTCTAAAGTTTCGAGAAGATAAAGTTCCGCCATTCAATTTTATGTAATCGTTTATATTGTTTCTGAAGAGGATTCAATCACGCAGTCGAAATATGTGAAATGCATAGTTATTAACGTACAATATAAAATGACTACTTTATGTACAACTAAAAATATATCTATTGTTTTACGCAAGAAGGGGGGTGATTTTGCGATTGGCTCACACATACCATGTATTTCTATACTTTGTTAACACAGTGAATCATTACATCTTTGTTGTTTCCCTGTGTTGCAAATTCTTACAAGAAAAATTCTTATGAGATTTTTCTAAGAAAATTTTCACATACAAATTTCGGCCAGGAACATACAAGATCATATAAGAATATATCACGACATCTGTAAGTAAATCAAGAATCTTACATGAATCTTACATCCATATTACATGAATTTTATAAGCATGTTATTTTCTTAATTCTTACACGCATGTTACACTTATATGAATCTTGCCCGTAGATTGTGTAAATTTTGCACGCATGTAACGTGAAAAAATATAACTGGAGTGTTATTATGAAAATTTATTATAAGAATACTATTGGAATTTTGTGTGATTTGTTGTTCGTATCCCTGTAAATAAAATTGAATAGGATCGTTGAATGAAATTTAAAAGAATTCATTTTGGCTAAAAATTAATTCTTTTTAAACAAATTGAACAATGGCTTTTCGATTAAATCAAATTTAATAAAATTTGGGAAAGGAGCATATATATATAAAAACCCAATTATTATAAGGAAATTATAATTTATCAATTTATTAAACTAGTAATACGTTTCGATCTTTCATTCAGTCGTCTTTAGTATTTTAACAAATTTTTTAATTTCTCTTAATTCTTTTTTATTTCATATATTCAATCCAGATTCTGTTCATTCAATAATTCCATTTTATTTACTGGGATGATCGATACCTTTATTACTTTGAAGCGATTATGTAAAAAAATTATTTCTTAAGAGTATGTTATTAAGACTAACCAATTAAAATCTTTTCATTGCGATATAAATCGTCGTGTATGATTGATGCTAGATTCTTGTATCAACTTGAAAAATAAATTATTTCGTAACTACATGTTTTTTTAAGGTACATGTAACACTTAGGAATCATACAATTAATACCATATTCTTGGATGATAATATAAAGAAATTATTTTTTAACAGTTTTTTATAAGGTTAAGGCAAAATCTTTTCATCGCGATATAAATTGTTGTGTACGATTTATTTCAGATTCCTAAGGTCATTAAAGATTATTGTGAGATTTATGTACAAATTATATAAGATTCTTATATGATCATGTACGTTCATTTAGTAATTTTGATTGTTCACATACAACTCTTTTAAGATCTGGTACAAAAAACTTACAAGGATTTTCAACAGGGTTACCAATGTCAAACAAATTAAGATTATTACTGTATTACACTGTGTCTCTTACTGATAAAAATAGTAGTTATAATTATTGTAATGCAATTGAAGTAATTACAATTTGCATGATTAAAACAACTATAAATTAATATCAATATTAGAATTACAAATTATTAGAACTAAAAATATTTAAAATTATAGTTAAATTATGATAATTGTAATCATTTTTCTCAGTGTAGTATTAATACTATTAATATAATAGCTTGTAATAATAATAATAATAAATAATAATAATAATAGTGATAATAATAGTGAATAATCAATTAATAGCAAATATAAAACGAATAAGAATAAATAAAAAATGTTGTCGAACCAAAAGTAACAACAGTTGTGTGCAACTCAAGTCTCGTTTTCAGTCATTTTACACCATTTGCGATAAGTCTGGTCGATTATTCAATATTTTTAGTGCGACGTTAACGTATTCCACATGGATGATTCCATTCACCTGGAATTGCGCTTCCTTGAACATGCAACAGTCGCAAGTGAAGGGTCCATATATATTGCAGAGAGGCTCCTGGATCGCGTTGTATACGGTGAAACTTGGACCTATCGGGGAAAAGTTCTTCTCCACGCTACCGATGATATTCGCGCTTTCAACTGTAATTCTCTGGGGAAATGCAAAAAATGAACGGATCAAGCGAGAAAATGGAAATGTTTGTTCTGTTTTAAGATCCGAAATAATCGAAAATTAAACCTGCTATTCCGTTCGCATCCCACACAGGATTTGATAGGATTTCGTTATATATGTATAGATATACTTTTGTAAAATTTTCAAATCACTGAGGAAGCTTCGAGGTAATTGAACAGTTTTATTTTGCCCCTACTAAATTATTATTAAATTGAAATATATAATTGGATTTTCTTTTTGATCGATACAAAAAAAATTTTTATTTTATATTTTAAATGTTAAAATATCTAATAAGGTCATCAAAAATTAATTTGTAATTTACAAGAGTTAGAGAAAATTTCTTAGAGAAAATTGTTCTGTTTTAATAAGAAAACTTAGTTACTCGAATCGAACGGCAGGGTTAATATAACACATTGAGCTCAATTTATCGCAACGATATATGTATCTTCCTTTGTGAAACAAACATAACACAAGAAACACTTCAATTTCAGAGAAAATTAAAATGACTTTACTTTGATATCATGAAAGTTAAAATGATGATTTTTTTTTGTTACATGTGACTATTTATTGACGTCAAGAATCAAAACTGAGTCATTTTGATTTTTTGTTGGTTTTTATGTATTCCTTGAACTGCCAGATTATCAACGAATCGTCGACAGGTGCATTTTTTTTTGAGGCATCAAAACACATTTTTCAAACTCTGAAAAAATTATTAAGACGAGTGTGTTGCCTGCACATCTAAATTATACGTAAAATATAGATATAAATATAATATAAATAAACGTGAGAAAGAATACTCGAAGGTTTGCGATACGCCGATAATTAAGATGCCAATAAACTTCTTGTAATTAAATCCGGTATAATTGTAGAAATGCGTACTATAGTACGCCTTCGTCGATTTACCTGTCGAGAGCACGGCACGTGTAACAAGCTGGGATCCTTCCGGATGATGAAGGCGGTTTCGCCACACTGATCCAGAACGTTCAACACAAATCCTTTGTACCAGCCGCACAATCGTGATTCCGTTTCCATCTTGGATTCCATGGCAAGAAACAATGTTTCCGCGCGTGGCACTTTCACCCTGTACTGAATACCCTTATCCAGTCTGCCGAGTACTGCCAAGTATTTCGCGTAAAAATCGCGTACGTCTCTATTATATTTTTTATTCGTACATAATGCAATTATATTATCTATTACGTCATTTAATATTGATAAAATTTCAAGTAGAATTAAATTACATTTTTTAATAATCTGCATAATAATTGTAAATAAAACTTAATATTAGTAAAAAAATAAATATAATTATGATTTAACTATAATTAATAATTATTTGTTAATATTAAATAATATAAATATTCAAACAATATTAAATAAATATGCACATACTTTTCTTGATAATAAGATATTTATATATATTTGACATTATTTAAAATTATTTTATTCAATTATATATTAGTTATTTAAATTTATTGTAATTATCTTCTTGCATTGTTCTATTTTTTTAGAGCAAAAAACTGACCCATAGTGCGCTAAATACGTACGAGTACTCAAATCAATAACCTGCTGAATTTCCAACTGCTCAACGCCGTCCAAAAACTGTGTACCGGTGATCGCATTCAAGTGCGACCTAGGTGTCGAGATCCAGTCGAGAGTGCTGATAGGAATTGGTCTACGGAATCGACTCTCACCTTCTGTAAATGTGATGCGACAATTAGCAAGGACAAAGGCAGCTGCGAATCTTATTGAATACGTGAGTACTCGTTATCAAGATCGTTTTCATTGCATTACGCAATTAGTTAAAGTCTTGTTATAATTGTACATAAATATATGTATGTATATATAATAAATATTTAGTATTTAATATTTAATATGTATATAAATTAATTTAATATATTGAATATTTTATACATATATTAAGTTTAATTATATACATTAAATATTACATTAATTTGTTATTTCTGTATATTTGATTTTATATACACACACACA